ATCTCGACCGATCGTGCGCTGTATACGCGGGCTGCCCGCTATCGTAGATTATGTTACGTAGATGCATCTAGGGCTTAGACCGCAGCTTGCGGTTTCCTGGATACGTATGGGGTCTACGTGGATGTGCCGGGCTTCGTTGCTCCTCGAAATTGTGAACGCGAACGAAGAAGATAGCCGGATTTCCCTTTGTATCGAACGATTAAGTCGACTGACTAAATTCCGGCCGACTGAATTGCTATCGATTTTACGCTGTAAAACTTTTTCTTCGATAACTTTATATATCGAATAATCGTGATTCTCATTTTGCGTTTGATTCTTTAGATATATTGTCACGCTTCCAAATTATGGTTTTACGAATTACATTTGTCCAGTCAGGGCTTAATGGACTGCAAATCCGGTTTTCGTTCGCGTCATTCTGAATATAGTTCGATATATAAGTTCGGTACTATTGAAAATTTATCCCAAATATAAATCATACTTTATCTCGAATATAAATCCTTTATCAAAGTCACGTGTTAATACCCGTGTATTGCACTCGATTCCGCCTATCCATTTATATTATATGAATAGATTATCCAGATAAGGATAAGTAGTTACATTGTAACAATTTATTCGCGATTAAAAAATCTGAACAAAAATTAACTAACACTCGAAATGAATATCTTGATTTCGAATATGAAAAAAGTACTTTAATAAGTACTTATATCGCGATGAAGAGAGAAAATATGAGTGACAAGGGAATACTCCTATCGTCCGAGGAACAATGAAAATTATTGATCAGTCATCGATACCTATCTTGATGAATGTATTAAAACAAGTTCCCCATCAGAGCATTTTTAACGCGCTCTTTTCAGCGAATCCCATTAGGTTTCCTATCGGCAGTATCCCAATGGCGGATTCGCGAATTATGCAATAAGGTTTGATCGGGATGGTATAGCTGGATTTGCCCGGCCAACTCGGGCCGCTCGAAATTGGGATCGCTCTCGAATTTTCGGCCGCGAAGCGTCCACGCAATTCTCGATTTTTCGAGTGTTTTTTTTTTTTGGAGGCCGGCTCTGTACGCCGCGCGTAATCTCTTTTTTCACGATGGTCTCTATCGGAAACGCATAGTCATCGTCCGCGTACGCGGACGGGTACGCGAAACACTGTAACTCCTGCTTGCTGATAATTAGCGCATCCATCAGCCGCAGCAAGCCGCCAGCTAATGCCGATCGTACGTTATCGTTATCACGGTCTCCCCATTTTGTCCCACCGCCGCTGGCCCCGTCTCTTGTCCCCTCGTTGCCCGGTGCCCGTCTATATTTGTACGTGGTCCGTACGCGACCCACAACCAGCGACACAGTCACACCGACCGACCACCGGTAGGCATCCTCCTCCTCGTAACCGATCGACCACCCTCCTCGCTCGAACCACCGCCACCCTCTCACCCTATATCGACAACGAACGCACGAGCTGTCGATACGAGCAATAATCTAATAACCAGTCACCGGCAATGTGTCGTAAGTCACCGGTCTGCAGATTTTCAGCGGCGCTCACTCCGGGAACCAATAACGCCGTTCCCTTTTGAATTATCAATTCATCGAGGGTCTAGGCCGACCTGGACGAACGGAAGAATCGAGCCTCTCGTTCTCTACGGCCTTTATCGAGGGATATGAGATTTCCTAGCTGATTTATAGCCTCGCGATCCTCGTTCAAGATCGCTGCTGTCGGCGAGCCGCGGATCTCGCAGCCGCGTATGCGCCGCGAACCAAGATTCGACGAGAAGGAAATTGAAATCTTGTAGGTCTGTGTTCGAACATATGTGTAGGAGGAATAACGCTTCAACTAGATTTTCTTTAACATTTCCAAGGCCTTTCTAGATCTTTTTAAAATTTCTTTAAGCTCTTCCAAATTACTCGAACCTACAATTCCGTTGCCTAGGAGTTCCTAATTATCTAAAAGCTCTTTAGATCTCCCTTATCAAAAATGGAGACATAGACACTCTAAACTCTCTGTGAGCTCTCTCAGCATCAAAGATAATTAGTGGTACCTTCATTTTAATTAAACTTACATTGCACCCAACCGTGCATTCTCTCATAATTTAACCGCTCATCCTCCACCGAAAAGGGAGAACAATCGGTCTTGCAAAGCATTGTATCTCGTAGCGGATGAAAATCGCGTACAATCCGAGCAATATTTTTTGTCGGAAATCACAGCAGATCGAAGAGCAAATTACGGGATCGCGATAGCGAGAGGTCGTGGTAGAGGTACATGCGCGCATCTCACGGCCGCGGGCCGCCAAATGATCCAGAACCCCGGTGGGAATTGGTTTAGCGTGGAATGGGCCGAGGTAGGGGGCAGCACGGGCGGACTCGTAGCAGGGCAGCGGCGTTGTAACTAACCGGGCTGATCTACGACCTGTTTAGTAGTTCTATATCAGCGCTGCACCATGCTTCGGTACACGCAATCGAATTGCCTCCTCTGCCGATAATATCCGACTTAAGTAGGTAACCATCGCGCGCGCTCGACCGCCC